TCATGCTGAGGAAATTTGTAATGCATTTAAACGAGTACGAAACTTTTGCAATGCATAGCGGAAGTGCCAGTGGGGCTTGCTTGCCTGCTGTGTCGCCGACATTTCGTGCTTCGTGTAGACCGCCTGCTCCGGTGCTGTTGCAGACGCGGCTGCGGAAGACGCTGCTCCTCCTCCTGCGGCAGATGAGGAGCTAGGACCAGCACTTGCAGAACCAGAAGACGATGTCGATCCTCCTGCACCAGCGCCAGCACTATCATTCTCCAAAGAACTACTGGTCCTTCCGTGGGAGTTCACGTGCATTTTCCGGGGCTCATTCGCATTCTCCGCCACCTCATGGTCCAATTGCGGAGCAAAAACTGCGCAGGCCCGCGGCAGAAACCCAAACACATATCAAAAGCGAAAATCCCCCCTCCCCATATCGAAAACGAATTTTGTGATGCTGTATTTGAATGCACAAATCGACTTGTATTGCTAGAATGCAAAGTGGCGCAGTTGTGGCCCCGTTTGCAGCCAATTTGTCATGCTGTTGCAACTTCCAGCTGCCCTCTGTCATGCTGGGGATGTGTGAAGTTTCCTGTAAATGTGGTGAACAACAAATTTGGAAACTTTCATAGAGGTTACGATCCTCAAACGTATTGGGGTGTTACCAATTGTGAATTCCAGTATTGCGCGTATATTGGGTTCACAAACAAGCCTGACATCGTGCAATCAAAAATCCATCATCGATGTTCTTTCTTCTGTATCGTTCCTCATTGTGTTTGCATTCATATCCGCATGCTACGCTAGAAGCTATTTATTAAGTACGATGCTACGACAATGTTTGTACGATAGTCCGAATGAAAATGCTCTGAACGAATACCGATAGTAGTATTGATTTTTGCATTCAAACAGAAATTGGGTGTACGTCAATACCGATGACATTCCCCCGTCTCCGTATGAAATAGCATGTAAAATAGTATAAAAATAGTAATCCTAGTAAATATTTTAGGTGCTATTTCGGTAATAAAATTAGTAATCCTAATGGGATACAGGCTCTTTAAGTGAAATCTAATTTGTATTGCGCGTGGGATACAGCATGATAAACTTGGAGGTCAAGATAAAATCTACTGTGAACAAAAATGGATATAAAGATAAAGAAGGATATTACTACAATATCAATGGGTTTAACAGATATACCCTATTGGTTGCGTAATAGCAGCGAGTTTCGCTGTAGACATACACAAATGCGTAAATGAAAACCAGAAAAAAACAAGGATGTAATGCGTGGAAAAAGAAAAATCTAAAACCACAAACAAAAAGATGAAAAAATTGACGGGGACTTGAAGGCCCATCAGGAACAGAGAAAAACACAAAAATTAGGTGGGGTTTTAGGCAAAAATTGAAGCTAAAAATCTCACGGAGGGATGTGCACAAAAGAAAAAAAATCTTCAGGCAAAAAGAGTGCGGGTGAGCTTGCAACAAAAATTCTGGGGTGAAAAATCCCAACAAAAATTGCCAAAAACGAAAAAAAATTGTCTCAAAAACTTACCCGCATCCGAACCATTTAGCTCAAGGCTTGGACTTAGGCGCTGACTTGAATGCGGCCAGTTGCAAACGCTTTAATTATCATCCTGGGATAGGACGACATATGCGTGAGCTCGTCAGCAATATTGATTTCGCGCGGAATGTGGCGAACATCAATAAGCTTTTCTTTTTGTTCCTGGCGTAGCATCGCGGCATCAGACATCAAGTTCGTTTCGCGCTTCATCTTGTGCGTAGTGCCAGCTGTGCTAACGTTATCGGTTGAATCGGTCAGACACAGGATAGGCGTACTAGCATCAAGAATTCCGACTTCGACAAGCATACCTTGCAGATACTTTGCATCAGCATGCGCACCGCGCAACGCTAACAACTCAGAACCTGCGGGCGATGACGACCGCCGCGCTTGCTTGATCGACTGCCAACGCATCGGAATTGCGCGCCTAGATGGACCAGGAGTCATCTCACTGAGAAAAATGACAAACCCAGTTTGAGACTCGCCATCAGGTCGGCCTTTGAACGAACTGTCGCTGAAAGAGACTAGCTGAAGGGGTCCTTGCAGCTCGAAAAAATTAGTGCTAAAATCCAACCTGTGTGCTACTGTGCGCGCGACTTTGTTCAGCTTGTGGACGTCCGACCAGGTCGGATGCTCCATGACTGAACTTAAAATCGACAATGGGCATGCGATATCAGGGCGCGAACGCGTGGCCCATCGCAAATTGCCGATAAGTGCGCGGTAGGGGCACTTGCCGTCTTTGTTTTTCACCGTGAACGGCTCACATGATTCCACATCTACACCATGCGGAATAGGAATTTCGACGATCTTAGAAGTGTAGTGCTCCTGCGAAAGTCGAAAACTGTGGTCGGTGTTCAGCGCGAGCTTTTGCCCGACGTAGTTCACAGGGTTGGAAAACGTCAAATCCTCTTTGGAACCAAACGAAAAAGTTTCTTCTAGGGGTGCTAGTACTAACTTTTTGAAAAGTTCACCGCCAGAATACAGCAAATCATCAACAAAAACGCACATAGTTCCAATGATACGACCTCCCTGCGGTGGCTCGTGCCGAAAAGTCGGATCGGATTGGATTTGTGCTGCTGTGCTTTCTGTGTAAACTGGGCGGGGCGGTGGGATTAGATTGCTGTTTTGGTCCACAACAAAATAAAGCAAATTCTGATCAGCTGTCACAGACCAGGCGCAAAGTTCCTTCAACCGCTTGAACAATGCGGCCTGCCAGCGTTCTGGTGCATCGATCAAACCATAGAGGCACTTTTTCAGCCTAATGACAGGCGCCTCAATGATTTTGCACTTGCGAACCGCTGCGGGTACTGTGATGTAGAGCGGCTTGTCGTTTGGGTCGAAATAGAAACCACGTAAAAAGGCGGTCTCAATGTCGCCACTCCCAATGTCCAATCCATGCTGTTTGGAAAAGACAAGGAACGTTTTCAAGCCTGCTTCGCTGATCATGCTGCTGTCCGTTCTTATGTCCTCAGAACCTTTTCGGGGGTCCTGAAAACCGCGAACAACCCACCTTGCTTTCACACGCTTTAGTGTGCCTTTGATCGTGTCTATTTTTAATGTCCACACGATTCGCGACTCCATGACTCGACTTTGATCCACATTTCCCTGCGGCAACTCGTAGACATCATTGTCTTTGATGCTACCAGTTTCTTTGTTCAACGCTTTGAACGCTTCGGGCTGTAGACCATGGTCGATCAAGAAGTTGTAGGACACTTCGACATTGCCAGACTTGATCTCCTCCGGCTTAAGGGAAAGAGTCACACTGGGCAAGTCGACGCGGCGTAGACAGGCTAGCGAAAAGACAAAATCATATCCACTAACCTTGTCGCCGTGCTTCTTTCTGCTGAAAAAACCGTCTTTGGTCAAAACAAAGTGAAAAACATCGTAGCGCTTTTTCCAGTTCAAATCACTTTTGACCGTGTAGCAGTTTTTGTTGATTTTCATCAACGCAATCTCCCTGCTGGTTTGCGCTGCGAAAAACTGAAAAACTTCCTGCCCTTTGTCAACTATCACCCGATGCCCTGAGTGGTGTTCGTAGCGCTCTTTTGTCAACCTAGAAAGCAAATCTTTTTGGCTCTCATCAAGTGAAAACGAAATGTCTCCACCTGATTCCGCCGCAAGAAAAGCATGCGCCCATCGCGCTTCGCGCTCACGGCGCCTACGTTCCGCGCGTAGCGTGCGCGGGTCGGGCTCTTCGTCCTCCTCTTCCTCAGAAGTAGCGGGAGGTGACTCAGGGGCTTGGGGCGGGGCTTTTGCTTTTGCTTTGGGTGGTGCTTGTGCTTTTGCTTTTGGTGCTTCAGCACCTTGCGGAACTGACAAATTTTTAGTGCTAGTCGTACTGGTAGTAGTGGTAGAAGCATGCTGATCTGCGACATTCGGACTGTTACTTGAACTAGAAATAGAGGCGTTTTTAGAAAAATGAATCGACTGACTTTCGGATTGAAGATTTGCATGAGCATGCGGATTTAGTACTTGCGCATGCGATACGGACTTTGCTTTTGCTACACTGTGAGGGGCTCCCTCTTTTGGTACTGCGCTGCTGTTGGGTAGTGCTTTTGCAGCTTGTTGCCGTGCGTAGTGCTGGTAAATTGGATGCGCTGAAAACTCTAACGATGGGATGACTCGCAACTGAGAACCACTCTTCCTCACATGATATCCAGTCGATTTCCCGTAAAGCAGGTAGATCGGTCTGCCTGCGTGTCCTTCCTCCAGCCCGATTATTTTGGTCCCTAACCAGGCTCGATCGACTTCGGAATATTATTCCACTGCTGCTCCCGGAATTAGTTCATCTTCCTTCGGTTTCCGGCGAACTTCCAAACGCTTCAAAAACTCCTTGTCAACTGCAACTTGTTCCAACATCTGGCGGATTTGCAACCGCTCGCGAAACTCTTCCAGAAAGGACGACTTTTCCGGAATTTGTTCCGTTTGTTGGTCCAGAAACGTGCGAACATTACTAGGCGTCCTACAGAATTCAGCCTCGAAAGGAGAAATCTTGTCGGGTAGAACGCTACTGCTCTGCAGGTTGACTGCGTTTATGACCTTTTTCAGAAGTTCGGTTCCGTTTCTCGTGTTGCCCAGGCGTCTGAGCCGAAACGTAACTTCTCGGAAAACCTTGTGACTGCGCTCACAGATTCCGTTTTCCCAGTGCTCCTCGCTGGGAAGAAGATGGAGACTGACTCCTTCTTGCTTGCAAAAATCTCGGAGCTCGGTCGAGATGAACTGTCTTCCAGGGTCGGCCATCAAATTACGCGGAAGAAATCCCTTTTCCTTCAGCTCCTTGAGGAAAGTGATAACATCCGCCGTTTTGACGTTTTTGGAGGGGGGCTTGTGACCTCGGGAATATCTCGAGTGGAGATCGATAGCATGCAACATCTCATTCTCTTTTGGTGCTCCGAGAAACACCGACTGAGAATAGTAATAGATGTCGAGGGCCATCCATTCTCCTACTTTTGTGGAAACGAAGGTGGCTGCTCGTGGTCTACGTGGTGCGTAGCGTGTTCGCGCCATTGTAGTTGCTATCATCCTCGCCATTGCTAGGGCTTCTACGTCGGACAGTATTCTCCAGGATACGATACCGGAACTATCTTTATCTGGAAATCCTTTACTTTCGAGAATTGCGAAACTCGTGGCGAATTTGTCTTGTCTTTGTGGCGTGTCCGGTTTTCCAGTGCTCGACAAATATTTCTTGTAAAGTGATTCCAGAATCCTCGCCCCACTGCCTTAGACGCAAGTCTGGTCGCCCTTGACGACCAGGATCCCTTTTTCCTTTTGCAACTGCATCGGGGTTTTGCAGTTTTTCAGCTTGCAAGTTTTGTTGACAACATCGACCGCCTCGAGATCGCTGCACCCTAACAGGAACGGGGTCGCTCCCTGAACCACTCGGAAGGTTCTGGATGCTCCGAACACGAAGCAAGCGGCTTTCTGCGTGCTGGTGCTGTTGTTGCCGTCGGCAAACGCAAACTTGACCGGACAAGCCTCCTGCAAGTCGTAAGCCAGCTTGCTAGCATCCAACGTTTCTTGTCCCACCAGGCTGCTAGCGCAGCCCGTATCCACCGCCATAGACTGGGGCGATTCGAACGACAAGAAAGCAGCAGAAACTTTTTCGGTCTCTTGTTCTTCCTTCGGCTGTTCCTGTTCTTCCTCGGGGTAGTAGTCGTAGTCGTCGTTGTGGTCGTACTCACCATCCCACTCTTCGTAGGGATAGTCGTTTTCGTACTCGTCATCTTCGCCGACAGCCCCTGCTGCGTAGCGCGAAGATTTTCCTTTCCACCCGAAACGCGACTTGCCTCCTTTGCCTTTCCCCGGTCCTGGGCGGTACGGGGTGTACGTTTTTCCTTTGGCCTTGCTGTTGTTCTTGCCGCTCGGCTTCCCGTGGTGGGCGCCCGACGACGAAGAACTTGCGCCGTAAGTCAATCCGCGGTAGTTGGCATAGTTCCCATACCAACGCTGTTTCCCTTTTCCTGCTGCGGCTGTGGCGCTTTCCTCCCGGCCTGCAAACGACGCAAGACACTTGACAACTTGCTTGTCAATGTCCTTGAACGCGTAGGACGCGGAAGCGCCCAAAATTTGTCCCGTCTGCAGCTGAGTTAATCCGAACGATCTTAAGTACAGAAGACCTAAAAACTCTTCTCGTGGAAGATGCGCCAGCGCCTGCGCGCTCTGCTGGAAGCGCGCGCGCGCCGTCACCAGGTCCCCGGTGTCGCTGTTTCTCTCCACCAACCGACACACTTCCGAAAACAGATGCATCTGGAGATCGCCGAACAGAGCCTCCCTAATCTGTTCCAGCATGGTGTCGTAGGTTAACGATTCCGCCACTGTTGGCGTAGCCAGATGCGTATGCACTGCCTGCAACGAAATTGCTTGCTTGATTTGTGGAAGGCCTAAGCTTTCCTCGATCCCGTATTTTCGCAAATTAGAAAGATAGCCCACAAGGTCCCGGCTGTAGGCGTTAAACTGCCCGAGTTCTTGCAACTTGGGGGCGGCTTTCTGATAGTCCCAGCGGCTGAGCGGGGGCGAAGCTGTGGCCGGGGCCTGCATGTTCGGCATGGCGTTCCCCGGCTGGGGCGGCGTCGTTCCCGCTGTATTTGCTTGGCCGAGGAGATGCCGCGCGATCGGCTCGATCATTTGGGTCAGCTGTCCGAGTCTTCTCATGGTCTCCCGAAACTCCTCGGGCGTAATCGGCTGCGTTTCGCCTGCCATAGGACTCGGTCCCGCTGCGTGATGTCCTGTTGGATGTGGCGGAGGAGGGTACTCCGCACCGGAATCGAAAGGATTGAACATTTTTGGGGTTGTTAAGATGGAAAATTTGTAATGTTAAGTAAGGGATTTTTACTTAGAAATAAGGTGATGCGAAATAAGAACTTGTAATGCGAAACACGAGCTAACTACTTAAAAATAGGCATGTTTTTCAAAAAAGTTGTATGTGGAAAAATATATGATTTACATGGAGATTAGAAGTATACTATACTAGATTTATGCGTTTTTACTTGTGTTATTTTGAGTTTGTGATGCTGCTTCTGTATAAAACTGTTGAGTTATGTATTTTGGTTTTTATGCTATGTAAAAAACTGTAACTATTTATTTTTCGAATTTGTCATGCTACTATAAAAATTTTAAAGTGAAGAAAGAAATAAAATCCGCTACCATGTGAAGTTTCCTGTAAAAGTGGTGAACAACAAATTTGGAAACTTTCATAGAGGTTACGATCCTCAAACGTAAGGGGTTTTTACCAATTGTGAATTCCAGTATTGCGCGTATATTGGGTTCACAAACAAGCCTGACATCGTGCAATCAAAAATCCATCATCGATGTTCTTTCTTCTGTATCGTTCCTCAATGTGTTTGCATTCATATCCGCATGCTACGCTAGAAGCTATTTATTAAGTACGATGCTACGACAATGTTTGTACGATAGTCCGAATGAAAATGCTCTGAACGAATACCGATAGTAGTATTGATTTTTGCATTCAAACAGAAATTGGGTGTACGTCAATACCGATGACAGGATGCAAGGCTCTCCCACGCAGCTCACCACTACAGTCCGCATCTTTATTTCCCTTCTAGCATGACAAAGCTGATTTGTGGCCACAAATCTGCATCACAGATTTGCGCTTTGATATGAGGAGGGGGGATTTTTCTTCTTGATAACACACCCGGAAACTTCTTCGCGTCCGGAGCCTCCGCAGAGTGCTTCCACGGCACCTCTATCAAATGCAAAAATATCTGGGTCTGGAAACTTGTGATGCAAATCTACGAATTGTGGGCGCACTGCAATACGCAGCCCACCATGACAAGTTTTTGCGCTGCTCTGTGTTTCGTTTTTCGCATGACAAACTGCGTTCTTGTATGCCAGGCAAGAGGCCCTTTTCCTACTCATGCATCGCAGATTTAAGACTCATGCCAGACAAGCATGACAAACTTGCACTCTCTCAGACCCAGACATATTTGCAGTTGATAACCCAGGCGGAATCCCGTGCCGGCTTCGTGTTCGGGACCGGCAAGGCCTTGGACTTCGCCTGCGCCTCGGCCGCTTTGGCGCGGTACCCGTATGCTGTGCAAAAACGTCCCCACCTCGTCTCCATATTTGTCATGCAAAGCTGCATGGTAAAAATGTCTCGCATGCGGAGACCCATGATGAGAAGCATTTTCTAGAAGTGGTCGCGTTTCGGAATAATTTGTCATGCTCCGAGCAACATAATATGCTATATCTGCGATGGTGCTGCACTAGCGAAACCTGATTACATTACAAGCCCGAACTACTTGTCATGCGCAACAGCCAAAGCTTGCTGATTTGCCTTGCAGATTTCTATTTCATCCTAACTTGACTGTGGGGTGGTGGTGGGGGTACTTCCCTATGATAACTCGCTGTCTTTTTCGATGGAAATCCCGGCGGGCGTCACCCGCACCGCCTCCAGCTTCTCTTGTATCCTGAGTAAAAAACGTACCCACACCAGAGTCAGGATGGGGATTTTGCAACACAAGCCTAGGAGTTTTGTGAGTCACGCATGACAAGTTGCATTCTGCAGTGTAGTGCGGGTTAGCAAGTGCAGCCGCATCACAGATTCATCGGCTCATCCTGTTCACAGCATCACAAATTCCAAAACACGATTGGATGCGCATTACAAGTCTTCCTGTCTTTGCAAATCTGCATTACAACTCTGGTGTGGGTACGTTTTTACTCAGGATATCCATTGCAGCTTCCTTTTCTCCAGCCGTCAAGTCCTCCTTTGCAGCTTCCTTTTCTGCTTCGTCGCACGTTTCTTTTTCCTGATACTCCAGGCCACTTTGCCAGAAGCCAGTCTTGATGTCAATGGTCTCGTGCATTTTGCTATCCCGTGCAAAAGTATCGTATTCGTGTAAATGCAAGTCTTGCAACATCACAAATCTTGTATTGTTTCCAAGGCAAATCTGCACTACAAATTTTATTTCTCATGCTGAGGAAATTGGTAATGCATTAATACGAGTAGGATACTTTTGCACTGCATATTTGCCGTATTGATCACTCCAGGCCCCTTTATAGTCGTTCATTTTCTCGACCACGGTGGCTTGGAATATCGCGAGAAAAAAGTGTTACAGTTACACATTTGTTGTCAATTTAGCAACACAAATTTCTTTGCATGCGCAAGAAAACTTGCAATGCAGAAATCTTACGGGAAATAAACACCTATGAAACGAGGCTCCTACGCATATCCTGCATGACAGAGCTTGTCTGTCTTGCTTGGACTGCAACACAATGTGTAAGTAACTGTAACACTTTTTTCGTGCGATATGGAAGACCGCTTCTTCAATGTGCCGCAGCGCGTTCTTCTCCATCTGGTCTGGATCTTGGGGCGGCGACTCACTATTACAGTGAAAAATGCCCCCACCCCGGAATTTCCAGAAGTTTGTCATGCAAAGTTTCCAAATGAAAGCCTTTTGTTTTGCATAAAAGGATTGCGAGCGTTTCTGATGCAGAATCTGGGTGCGCAAGGTGCCTTGTGCATAACAGATCCGGCTGCTGTTGGGCTACTTCGCAACACAACTTTGACCTATTCAGCATGGAGAATTTGTGATGCTGAGATATGCAAGACGCGGAATGATTCGGTTGGAAAGGTTTGCAATACAAATGCTGCCAAGGCCAAGCTGGGGGTGGGGGCATTTTTCATTGTAATACTCACTGTCTGTGATTTTCTGGGACTTTACCTCCAACGCGGTACCTAAAACTTGCGGAACGGGGACGTACTCTTTGCTCTCGTGCTGGCTATTCAGAAGTGAAGATCCCGCCCCGCCGCGCTGCTGCTGCTGCTGACCACCCGCGCTCAGCCCCCCTTGCTGCAAATATTGTGAGGAAAAATCTCCCCTCCCCATATCGAAAAGGCATGTTTCCGAAAATTTGCGTTGCTGATTTGAGGTCACAAATCACGTCTGTCTTGCAAGAAGACACGGGCAAAAGCTCCGCCCCCATCATGGAGGCGATTTGTCATGCTGTTGGGCCTAAAGCGGAGCCGTTTGCCATGCTGAACAACTAGACCGATACGCCCCTGCACCGCCTGGAGATCTGGACGCGATGCCTTCCTGCAATACAAAGCCGATTTGTGTACACAAATCCCGCATCACAGATTTCCATTTCGATATGGGGTGGGGGGATTTTTCCTTTTGATAGCAAAGTCCGGGCGTTCTGTTTCAAGTGATTGTACAAAAATTGCAACAACGGGTTCCCGCCACGTGCAGGGCTATCCCTCCCGGTCTCATCTATCCTGAGTAAAAACGTACCCACACCAGAAATGTAATGCAGGTTTGAAAAGACAGGAAGACTTGTAATGCGTATCACCATGAGAGCCATTTCCACTCGTGTTTTGGAATTTGTGATGCTGTGAACAGGATGAGCAGATGAATCTGTGATGCGGCTGCACTTGCTAACGTGCACTACACTGCAGAGTGCAACTTGTCATGCGTGACTCACAAAACTCCTAGGTTTGTGTTGCAAAATCCCCATCCTGACTCTGGTGTGGGTACGCTTTTACTCAGGATATCATCGCTGATCTGCTCATCCAAGAACGAAACCAAATCCGCAACCCCCGACGCGTGCGCGGTGCCCTATCGAAAGGAAAAATGCCCCCACCCCCAAAGTTGCAAACAATTTGTGATGCATAGTTCTTGCCAAATAAAAACTTTTTGTCATGCATAAAAGGAGTATGATTCTTTCTGATTCGCATCGCTTGCATGACAAGCGCCGCTCGTGCTGGGATCTTTTGCAATACAAATTTTGGCTATAATTGACGCTCGGAAATCTGTGGTGCTGATAGATGCAGGAGGGCGAGTGTTTCATTTGGAAAGGTTTGCAACACAAATGCTCCCAAGTTCGGAAAGGGGGCACTTTTCATTGTAATATGCCCGCCGCAGAGTTTTCGTATACCCGCATGGTGTCCTCCATCGACAAAATTCCGCTCGTCGAGTCCTTGTAGAAGATCCGCTGCAGCAACTTCCAAATCTGTCGGGCAATGTTTTTGGGGCTTTGCTTGTGCAGTTTTAAGGTCTCCCCCGTCGCGGGGCCCGTTTTGGACTGTTGCTGGAGGAAATTTTATATCAAATGCAAATACGTCGGGGTCTGGAAGTTCGTCGTGCACATTTTGCATCACCGGCGATGACTGTGATGCATGCCCTAGCATCACAGATTTTCTGAAGGCTTTCTGATGCCCGTACTGCATGAGAAATGTCCCCTCGGCGTAGCAAAAAGCGCACCTCTTTTGCTGTTCCTGCAATACAGATTTTTTGAGAATCCAAGTGCAGCATTACAAGTTGCAACCTTCCAGACCCAGACATATTTGCAGTGGATATTCTGCTTCCGGCAATTCTTCACGAGCATCGCGATCGCGACAAACTTATCATGTGCAAAAGCATCGCACACGTACTAATTGCAATTATGCATGACAAATCTTCTTCCTAAGGTAAAACAGCATTACAAATTGCACTTGTCATGCTGAGCAAACTTGTCATGCAATTTATACTAGTACGATATTACTTTTGCAATGCATAAAACTGCACCCGGATCCGGTTCATGTCCTTTGCGTGAACCACGATGCCCATCTGCTT